TGCCGCGTTTTGTAGTTTTGGGCTAGTTTTGAGTAGCAACTAGGCGGGTTTTGTTGTGAAAACCTGGCAACCCTGGTCACGTTTATTGACAGTGTACGATGATTTACGATTAGCCGTGTCGGAAATCCAACCACGGATTGGCATGTTGTTATCTCAGAAACAGGCTCAGCCATCACATTAAATCTGGTAAACTGGTTATATATTTATGTTTCAGTATAATTACGCACGCTATACCAGGGGCGGTTCTAAACCCTTTTTAGGTGGGTTTCAGCCCCACTATCTGTCACCTTAGCCCCCCAAAACTATCTTAACGATCAGGCCAGTGCTGCTTCCTCGAGAAAGTTTTTCATTCTCACGTATTTTAAGTCTTGTTAGTTTAAACATTAAAGTAATTTTAAGCCATTTAAGCCCAAGACATCTCAACGCGGTACTCACGCACTGTGATAGAGCGTTTCTATGCGCACTGCTCACACAGCTGAAGTGCACAGATAGCCTTCTCAGACAGCAGGTGAATACCAATGGCTGTCTTGACAAGTATCCTTGTAAGCAGTCGGTTGTTTTAAGTGAATGTAAACAGTAAAGAAAATACTTCGGGAAGAAGCAGGCGGCGGAGGAGGAGCGCTACTTCAAGTGAGCTTCACTTCCATCAGATTAGACTTGTCCAAACACACACACTTGTGCTCTTGGCTGCTTGAGAGCGTGTTTGCACGACTGGAAGTAAGTGTGCAAGACTTAACGTACACTAAACCCACACTATCTCCAGCACCGCTCCGGTGCGCTGTTTTAGTCTTAGCGTATCATGCATCTGTTTTTATCACTTGATTAGAAGCACCACAAATTACATTTGGGTGAACAAACATTTAGAAGTTGATTTTAAAATGCAGAGTATTTAAAATAAAAATAAAGCTATGTAAACGCTTGCATTTTTATCTCACTATAAGTGTGTCCCATCAGGTGATGAGAAGCTCAACACACTTTGTGGTCTTCGTGCTCACTTGATAAAAGACCAGATGTGTGTGTGTGTGTGTGTGTGTGTGTGTGTGTGTGTGTGTGTGTGTGTGTGTGTGTGTGTGGGGG